ATGATGGAAGCGATGATTCTTCTAGGCAACTCTGCTGAACCAAAGGAAAAGTAACTTAAGTACTTAATCTCAACATAGACTTATTGTCACGTTTGTCAGAAGCCCATGGGGTTTGGTAGAAAGTCAGAAGATACATGTACCTAAGGACTAAGAATGTGACACACATTTTTAACAGGGCTATTTGCTGGGCAAGACACACAGCAAAATGAGGTAAGAAAAAAAAAACTTTTTTATGTTGTCAGAAGAGTTAACTTCTTAAAGAATTGTAGAATGTTTGAAGGGTAAACAAAATGAGGTCCAGCAGGGGAAGTGACTTGCCCACTTGCCCAGGGCTAGACAGCTCATTAGGGGCAAAGTTGGTCCCCAACTCCCACGTCCACCTCGCCACCCCACCCCCTGAGAGCTTAGCTGTACCCTCCAAGAAGCTTGTATCACTTATTCCACCATTTCTTGGCCTTTTTGGAAATATTGATGACCTCCCTCTGCTTCTTTCCTAAGATGACCTAGGAAAATGCCATTAAAGGAAAGTCTTATATTGCATTTTGTCAGCAAATCCCACTGTCACTAACCTGGCCCAACCTGAGAGTTTCACTCGTGGTCCTAACAGCCAGATTTCTTGCCTCCAGCTGGTCCCCTTTCCCCTTAATCACATTAGAAAATGCACGTTTTGTATTCACATCCCCCAGAGTAGTGACATATTTCTTTTCCTTCCTGTAATCTGGAAATCTTTTTTTTCTGTTTGTTTTTGTTGTTATTTTTAAGACGACGAGTTGCACGTATCAGAGGGACTTGCTGGCTCCTCAGAAACCAGCCTGGTAGGAGAGCTGATTGGATTTGCCTAAAGCATTTCCTCATTAGTAGCCTGTGTGTGCCTTTCCTTTCAAATGTCATCTGGCCGCCTCAACAAAGATTTAATTGTGGCAACTTGGGGCCCTCGCAAACTTGGGCTTCATGGAAGGTTCTTTGGAAATCTTCACAACTGCTTGTCCTTGAGATGACAAACCAGAAACGTATTGAAAGTGACTTGGTGGATTATTGGTTCGAAGACCACTCCTTATGGCTCTCCTGCCCTTTTTTTGCAAGTGAAGATTGGAATTTTAATTGCTCAACCACAGTTTTTAATTCATGATGCCCAGAAAGGGCATGGTTTATTAATTAGTTCTGATTATGAGGCACCTCGAACTGGGGCCTGGCTGTTTCTTGATCGGTTTCAACAGCTCTGAAATTACTGTCTGTAAGGACACAGAAGTGTAATTATGCAGACACTGGCTTTTCGGCTCTGCCAGGTTAAACCCTCTAATATGCATACATATTACAATGTCTTAAGAGGCATTTATTGAAATGCCATAGTTTAATAGTTTAGGCTTACAAAATCAAGCTCTCTTATGTTACAGGCAATAGCCAGTTAATTGGATGTTTTCTCCCAGTGCATAAAAATGTTGGCTTAAATACACACACATTTAATTAATTTAAAAAAAAAAGTGTGAGAAACAGTATTACTTCGTAGTTAAAAGCAAGAACTGCGGAGCCAGGCTGCTCGGATTTGATTCCTGCTTCTGCCTTTTCCAGCACTGTGACTTGGGGGTATGACTTACCCCTTTTCCATCTCTGCATCTTTGGTAAATGAGGATGTTCACACAGCACGTGTCATAGATGGTTGTGAGGGTCTAACGAGTGAGTACACAAAACACTTAGCAGAGTTCATGGGATCTGGTCAGTGTGCTTTTTACTGGTCTCTCTGACACATTTGTTTGTATTTATGTGTTATTAAACCTAGTTGTGATGTGCTGACAGAATTAGGGGTATCTTTGTGTGGTAGGAGCTGAAACTTTCCCTTAATATCTATTCTCTTCTTCTTCCACAATAATGGCCTCTCCTCCTCACCTCCTCCTCACTTTCCAGCTGGATTGGCACCAGGTTATCCAGAGTTAAGAGTAAAATTTATTTTCCCTCTAGAAATGGCCATGTGGCTAAATTCTGGTCAATGGTTTGTAAGCATATATAATGTGTCAACCTCTGCAAAACATTCTTAAAGGAGGAAGCATGGTGTGACCATCGCTTCTTCCTTCCTGCTGATGGGAATTTGGTTAATGTGACTGGGACTCAAGCAGCCACATAGGATTAACAGATGGCAGGCTAGAGATGCAGAGGAGGAAGGGCCATAGGACTGAGCCCCTCACAACTCCAGAGAGCAAAGCTGCCCTGGCAGCCCTTTTCTTTTGCTGTAGACTTTTAGCAAAAGAAAAACAAACCTTTATATCATTCAATACACTGTAATTTGAGCACCTGCTGCAGTCAGATCTAGTCTCTGGGAAACACTCTGCCCTCCTGAATTGGACCATTCTCTCATTATTTTGACTGCAATGTGTAGAAATCTCAGGATGCTAAGGCACAAAGAACCATGAAAAGGTTTCACCTACACTTTGTTTTCTGTTAGAGGCACTGTTTTACCACACCCAGGCATGGCCACACTGTTCTTACTGTGCTTGAGGGGAGAACGGACTTGGCCTCAAGCCTCGATTGGTGATTGGAGATGAACTACTCGACAGTAGAATTATGCACAGAACTGATGTCAGAAGGGATATTCTGACAATTTTATTACTGCTTCCGGACCAAAAATTGTGGGCCGTTGGAGAAATATAGTGGCAATTTTCTGTTGCTTTCTTTGTTATCCACAAAAACGAGTTTCTCGATTTTCTCTTTTCTACACATATCAACAAGAATCAAGATTCATGAACAAAGGGGCTTTAGGCAGGGAGATGTTGATGTTATCTGTCCTTTCTCAGGACAGACGTGGAAACCGTTGAGTGATTTCAGTATATCTTGTTCAGGAACAGTGATAATAATCTCTTGTGTTTTCTTCTTGTTTCTCCCCTCTCCCCACCTTGGAATTGAAAACTTGTTTTCTGGTGGTTCTAGAGATCTCTGGACTCCTTTAGGGATTTGGCTGAGCTTTCCTCACAAAATTAGTGAAAAGGAGAGTGTATACCTAAGGCTCTAAGAAGAAACAGCGTGCCTGAGGTAGAAAGCAGGATGATCCCTTATTTCTATTTGTCTTAACTGGGGAAGAGGCCAGGCATTGTTCATCAAAATTAAGTCAGGTTTCTGGAAGCCATGGAGTGTTGTCTTTCCTTCAGGAAAATCCTTAGCCTCTGCCACATCTGTCTACCCTTTCCTTATGGGGTTCCCATTAGACATACATTAGACCTTCTCACTTCATCCTCCACATCTCTATCTTACGTTTTCCATTCTTTTCAATATCTTTGTGCTACAATCTGTATAATTTCTTCTCATCTACAAGTCACTCACGAATTCCTTCTTTTGATATGCCTACCTATTGAAGTTTTAATTCTGGTTTGTTATTGTAGTTATATATTATATAGCAATAATTATTAGTACTGGTACTACTACTACTAGACATTTCTTTTGGTGATTTCACTAATCTGTTAGGTCACTTTAAAAAAATATTCTCTGGAAGATTCTCTCAAGCTTTTCCTTTGTTTCTTTACACATGGTAAACATATTTGTTGCTTTGTTGTCTGTGTTGTCCCTGCTGTCAGTTATTTTTACTAGTTCTGGCTCTGCTATCTTGTTTCCATGTGTGCAACACTTCCTTAGATTTTATGCTGTTCATTGCCCTTAAAAGTGATTTACAGGGACCCTTTGAAGCCTAGGATGAAATTGCCTTCCTCCAGAAAGGATTTGCCACTGATTTTGCTAGTTCCCTAGAGACTTGTCTAGCTTGGGACCTTTTTAAACCAGGTTTAAGATTTAATCACTCATGGATAGCATAGTCCTCAGCACATAATAAATGACTGATAAATTTTGGCTGAATGAATAAATCTTTAAGTTATCATACTTACTTTCTTAACTTAATTTCTCTGTATGTTCAGCTGGTCAGTTAAAGGATTACTGTTTTGAATACCATTTCCAATGGGGTGTCCTTTATTCAAGATGGTGATTGTCATGTCTTCTCTCCTTCATAAATTCTTCAACTCTGTGCTACACAGGAAGTGGTTACTTGGTAAATATGCTTCTGGGCTAAGACTTGCCATCCTCCCCATGCTTCTGGCCATGAGTGGGTCAAACCACACATTTCTGGGACTCCTTACACTTTCCATGGATAGTTCGAGTAAAACTCAGATTATCTCTGGCAGCAACTCCCCGTGGCTCTGTAATTAGTGGATCTACCTCTGATATCTTTTCTCTTTAGGACTCCTGCTCTTCCTTTGCTCTCCATAGCCAACCTCTGACTCTGTCATTCCCTCACTCATAGACCAAGACCACCATGGCTATCATCACTGGCTATGGAGTGAAGTCCAAGCCTATTAGCATGTCTTTTTGCCTTTTTTTTTTTTTTTTTGTCTAGTTGGGGTAGCCAGATTTCATGAAAGAATGTGATCTCTGGAAAGTCCAACTCCAGCTCCATTACTTACCAGCCACAAAATGAAACTTCTGTGCATTGTTGTGCCGGTGTGTAAAATAATATTAGTCTTGCAAGGGATAAGGTATGTAGAGTTCCTAGGTCCATCAGAATAAGAATAGCTCTACAAAACATTTCTTTCTAGTAGGGTCTGAAAGGAATGACAGTTTATTTTCCTATTGCTTATGGACAGATGGACACTCAGAACGTGTCCTGGCCCATGTTTTCTCTGACCTTGGTTGCCTTATAAATAAAGGGGTGGCTTGGGGCGCCTGGGTAGCTCAGTCCATTAAGTATCCAACTTCGGCTCAGGTCATAATCTCATGGTTCACAAGTTCGGGCCCCACGTCAGACTCTGGTGACAGCTAGGAGCCTGGAGCCTGCTTCAGCTTCTTTGTCTCCTTCTTTCTCTTTGCCCCCTCCCCTGCTTTTAGTCTGTCTCTCCCTCAAAAATAAGTAAACATTTAAAAAATTAAAAAAAAAATAGGGTGGTGCCTTGAACGGTCATACTGAAGCTTAAAGGTGGGAAGGTATGTATGTAAAGCGTCTGGAGGCATACTTGGCACATCGTTAGGTATATAATACATGTTCCTTCTTTATTCCATTCAAACTGAGGTCCAACTTGCCTTTCCTATGGGATTGAAATACAAATTGAAAATCAGAGTACATTATATAAAAGAAGGATTGCTATTCCTTACTCTCTAAAGTCCTATCTTCCCTTTAAAGCCAAGTTCAAATGACATCTATTCTATGAAGCATCTCTGGATTCTCACTTCTACAACACTTATTTCCTACTCCAGCCAGAAGGATAATAATGCAACCAAAGGAGAACCTTCAAACCAGTTCAGCTATATTTGAATTTCCTGTATATCAACAAGTATGATTCTATACAAAGCTAAGCTGTGCTCTAGCTTCTACCAAAACATTTTTAGAGATTAAAAAAATTCAATGTCTTCCAAACCAGTCTATTTATTCTAGCTTTGGACAACTTAAATCTGTCCTCTTAAATTTTCTGCATTTGTTCCTAGGTATGTTTGTATTCCTTTTTGAAATATATTGCCCACAAATAAACAATATTCCTTAAAATACACTGTCCACAAATGCCCTTTCTTCTTCTGTAACTGCAGCCTGTGCTAACAGATTTGTGGGGACCATGGAGTTGTTTTCTCCTAACTACACTTATATTCAGTTAAAACCCTGAGATCTCCTTCTCAAATATGTGTTGGTATTAAATGACATCTCCTCTGTCTTGAATTAGTGTGGCTATTTTTGATACCTGTGGCCGAGTTCCCCAATACCTGCCCATATTTCTTGCATCTCGGTGTGTTTGGCCTGCTTATTATATTGCCGTGAACCTAACTTGTCCCTCATATGTGATGCAGTTTCCTCATGAGTTATCCCAACATACTGTCTTCCTGTTATAACACTCAGCTCATTCTGCTTTGTGCGCTGTTTATGTGCTTGTATTATGTCACAGTCTTGGGTGGGGTTCCTGAGAAGCAGAGCCTCTGTCTGCGGGACCAGGCGGCATCTCTGTAGCTTCCCAGACTTGGTGGCTTCTGTTGGTTTAACAGCTGTTTTCCAGAGCAGGTGGGCAGCTAAGAGTTGTTCTCAGCCAACACACAGCAGCTGGGAAATACATGCTCAGGCTGGTGGAAAGGATCTGATGGCACCGAGCAGCATCCACTATAGTCACCCATGATTTTGAACTCTGGAGATGGAAACTATCTATTGTTTATTTTTGCAGTCTCTGTAAACCTGGCCTCATGTCTTGCACAGTAAAGGCATTAGATTGTGGATTTGAATCATTAAAGATCTGGAGTAAATGTCCACAATCCATTTTCTAGTTTGTATCCAGTCCAGTCCACTGCCGCTTGTAATAACAGATACTGGTGAGGAACTTCTCCAATCCCCTGCCCCCGCCCCACCCACAGACAAGCACAGAAGCAGACTGTGCGAGTGATAGAGGGAAAGATATGGAAGTTTATGTTGCATGTTCCAAGAATCTAGTTGCCCTGTCAACTTAGAAGCTGTCTATGGACCACATGTTTAAATTCAGAATAGGCAAACAACTTCCTTTTTTTTTAATATATTTTTTTTTTATTTTGAGAGAGAGAGAGACAAAGCATGAGCATGAGGAGGGGAGAGGCAGAGAGAGAAGAAGAGAATCCCAAGCAGAGTCTGTGCCTTCAGTGCAGACCCCGACATGGAGCTCAAACTCACGAACCATGAGATCGTGACCTGAGCCAAAATCAAGAGTCAGACCTTAACCAACTGAGCTGCCCAGTTGCCTTGGCAAATAACTTATTAAGACCAAAGAAACACATCGGAGAGAAGGATTTCAGTTTGCTCCACTAAGCTCTTGAACTATTTTTTTTTTAATTTTATAAAAGTAATATGTGCATATTGGCTAAACATAAAAATGGTATAAAAGAGTGATAAATGAATAGTAAAGTCTATCTCTCCATCAGCTTGGGTTTAATTTCCACTCCCAAGAGCTAACTGCTGTTAACATTTTCTTATGTTTGTATCTAGAAATAGTTATATATATATATATATATATATATATATAACTTATGTTATATGTTATGTGTATATATATATATACACACACACACAAGGCTATGTATTTATGATTTATATGCAAGAGATTAGAGCTCTACCATTTTTATTTTTTTTTAATGTTTTATTTATTTCTAGGAGAGAGAGAGAGAGACAGTGTGAGCAGGGGAGGGTCAGAGAGAGAGGGAGTCACAGACTGAAACAGGCTCCAGGCTCTGAGCTGGCAGTCAGCACAGAGCCTGACGCGGGGCTCGAACCCACAAACCGTGAGATCATGACCTAAGTGAAAGTCGGACGCTTAACCGACTAAGCCACCCAGCTGCCCCTCTACCATTTTTAAACTAATAATAGATCGTGTAGATCTTTCTACATCAGCACATCTATAGCTATCTTATTTTTTAAAATGACTGTACAGCTAGCTGTCTTACGGTTTATTATTTTTCTTATGGACATTGAGATTGGTCCTAGTTTTCAGCTCTTTCAGAAAGTATTTTTGCTCTTACTAATTTTTTCCATTGCAAAATAAGTATCCTTTTATGTAAGTTTTTTTTTTCTTTTTTTTGCCTGTATGTGCTTAGCTGTATTAAATTAAAAATCCTATTCTTGCTTCTGAACAGAAAAATGATGTCATGGGTAGAGAATGTGGCTACCAAATTCCCAACTTCTGTATTGAACAATTATGTGCCTTTAAGCCTAAGAAGGATGATTTCTCCTTCTTTGCCCGTTTGTCTCTCACCCTCTTCCCCAGAATGCAGTTTATAATCAGAAAAGATAAAAGTTGTCATAGTTGAAAAAAGCTGAAAGTAATTCTCAAGTTCAGGTCATCATAATGGCAAATTCTAAAAACCACTTTGGTATAGAATTTAAATAACAGAAAAACTATTTTGAGAGGCACAGAAATTGTGGATCTTGCTCAGAGTTTAAGAGGTTCCGTATTAAGACCTCATCTAATGCTAGTTTCAAAAAAAGCAATCAGACCTTCCAGAAATCCAGCCCTGATGTACTTAAAAGCTGTTGTCTTTCTCTTTACAGTGAAGTACATGCGAGAAGCCACACCCTATGTGAAGAAAGGCTCCCCAGTATCAGAGATTGGCTGGGAAACGCCTCCGCCAGAGTCCCCTCGGTTAGGGGGCGGCTCCTCAGACCCCCTGTCCTCGCAGGCCTTCTCCTTCCACAGAGATCGGAAAAGCATCCCCCTCAAGATGTGTTACGTCACTCGGAGTATGGCTTTGGCTGACCCTGAAAACAGGTAAAGAGCCCCGAGATCTCCTCTGGCATTGCCATGGCTATGCCTACATTCTGAAAACACTCCTTGGTTTCTACAGAGTAGCCTGAAAGGGTCCCACAGAGATAGTGTTGTGTGTTCAAGTCAGGCCTCCCTCATTCCCTTCCTCCAACCTTCTTCCTTTCTTTTATCCCCTTGACTAATCTGGGTACTGAGCTTGGGTTCTGGAAAGAGTTGAAGAATTGAAGTCAAGACGCTAAGTGTCTTCCCTGACTCTCCGGTTGCTAGTTTATGTGACTTTGGTAGAAAGGGATATACACAGAATCTGAAGCAGGCTCCAGGCTCTGAGCTGTCACCGTAGCACCCAACACAGGGCTTGAACTCACGAATTGTGAGATGGTAACCTGAGCTGAAGTCAGATGCTTAACCAACTGAGCCACCCAGGCACCCAGATAATAATATTCATTATTAATGTTAGGTAATAATGGGAGTTAGGAAAAAAAGGGAGTGGCTTTGATCCAACCCTGGAGTGCTATCTCTCAAAGCCTGTACACGATTTCTCATGCCATGGGATAGATATATCACCCAATCCATGGCAGTTATAAGGAGTCCAGCAAGACCAGCAAATTTGTGGGCCCCTGTTTCCCCAGACATCTTATTTAACTCATCTGAACAGGAGACATCTACCTGGGAGGAAAATGAGAGCCATGTAGAAGAGAAGGAAGAGGAATGGAGCCAGCAAATGGCAAATCTTGGTGACCTTGGCAGACACATTCAAATGCTAAAAATAGGGACAGCTCTACTGGCCCTTATTTGTAACATGTGTGGGACAGCTGCAGCCTACCCAAGTGGGATGCATTTGGCTGTGCTCTGAGCTGCTGAAGGGGAAGAGCCAAAGGGAGCAGGGATGGGGGGAAGTTGCCTCCTCGGCTCAGAGCTCAAGGCCTTTCTCATTCTCTTCCTAGTAAGCTTGCTCTAAGGAAGTGGCCAGCCCCTCTGACTCCAGCAGCTGGAGGACCCACTCTCCTCCCCTCACCCCTCCCAGGCCAGTTGTGTCTGTAAGGAGCAGTGGTTGTAGGAGAGAGTGGGGAGGATCAGCCAAAGAGGCATTGGAGTAGGCAGCCTGGCAAGGAGGCAGAATTCGCCCACTCTTCCATGAGCCACTCGAACCTGTTCTATGTTTTGTCTGCCTTGATTTCTGCTGATTTTCCTGAGCCTTCTGTTGATGCCCTGGTTACTCTGCATTTGATCTTTGCGAGTCTCTAAGCTACCAAATCAGACAAGTCCTTTCTTCCAAGAGTCTGATGTCTAATTCATCATTTATCGAGTGCCCATCTTGTGCCGGGCGTTATGCTAAGTTAGTTGAGACCAGAGGCTGCAAAGTGGCAGCCTCCAGGTGTACCCAGGTGGCAGATATGGTCTGTCTAGCGTGTAAAAGAAATATGAATTACTTACCACGTTGAATCATTGGGAAATTTCACATTAAAAAGCCAGATTTCTGCTTTTCTAGACAAATGGATAGATCTGGGGGTGTTATTAGGCCCACGTTGCTGCAGGCAGGTTTCTAATCTACAGGAGCCCGGTCGAGGCCTCTCCTCCTTGTATAAGGGAATGAATTCTCCTCAACACTCCTATTGCCACACCCTTGGGGGATTCCATTAGTTACCTGCCTGGTCCTTGAGACTGTACCCCTCCTTAGTCCTCTAAACAGCCCTCTGAGTTTCTCTCATTATCCCCACTCTATAGATCAAAACTGAGGCTTAATTTTTATAGACATTCCAAACATCATATGCCTAAAATACAGTTTTGCTGGGTTTTGAATCCAAGCCTATGGTGTGGGTGACAGTGTCAGTTTGCCATTACCAAAAAAATGCAGAGACTAGGAAATGTGGAATATTTTAGGAGAGATTCGTGCCCGGGGAGAGAGCTTAAGTAGATGATTTCTAGGGTTGTTTTCAGCTGCGGACTATACACTCTAACTTCCTCCTAAGGCACTGAATTCTATTTTAAAGAAGATTTTGGGACACATCAGGCCTTAGTTCAAACATTGGAGACTTCCTTTGTCAATCCAGAAGACAGAATGGATCTTTAAACTTTTATATCAGTGGCCTTCAATCCACCATTGATGAGGCGGTGTGGGAGGGCCTAGCCTGGCAGAGTATGAGAACCACAGGGCAGGATTGAAAATGAGAATCCAGCTAAGCCAGAGGGTCCAGGAGGAGACTTCAGTCCAGATAGACCCAGAACTGCTGGTAATGAGATTGACCTTTCACAATGTATCCACATATCAAATCACCATGCTATACACTTTAAATATCTTAAAATTTTGTCAATTATACCTCAGTAAAGCTGGGGAAAAAGATTATGGTTTTACGTGAATCTTGACCCTGGTCAAGGAAGAGAAGAAAAGAAAAAGGAAACAAATATTTAATGGAACTCCGGTTACATACTGGGCAGAGTATAATGTACTAGTCAGAAATGTGGTCTCTGCAAAACCCAAGTCAGTGCTGAACACAAGACGCACCAAACACGAAGTGATTTTAAAAGGCAAAAAACAAAGAGATGGGTAAAGCATACAAGGCA